AAAAAAAAGCTTGAGTCGACAACGAATTTCCATTTTTTAAGAGGAGTAGGGAAGAAGGGAAAGAGATTGAAGCAAAAAGATAACTTATACACTTCCTGTAAAGACTGGCTCAAAAGTGCTGCCTTGAGAAACGACAGAAAATGAGATAAACTTTTGATAAATACCCAAATTTAATGAAGTTCGCAAGAAGTGTTGTCATTATTTTGGTTATCTTTCGGTCATTTCGAGTCCTCACGTATGGTGTCACAAACATATTAACGTTGAAGGCATACAGCAGTTCAGATCCATGTGTTGCAGCTGCAAGAGTAGGTACAGTTGAACAAAGAAGCATGTACAACCAAAAGCATAAAACACAGTTTATCATCTTTTAATCTTCATTGGAAAATTAAATAATCTAACAATAGTTGCTGTATTTTATTTCTTCTTTAAAGCACCAATCTTTTAAAACTAATTAGCAGACAGCTCACCTCTAAATGGCATCATAAAATTCAAAATTCCATATGCAGCTGGATTGCAGTATTCAAGACTATATGTATAAACAGTTCCACCTTTTTCAGTTACTTTTTCAATATATTTTGAGCATGCAAAATTACTGATAACATCATCGAGCATCTGCAGAAATTAAAATACCCAAAAACTCATTTTTTTCATAATTTTTTGTATTTTTACAACAACTACATAGCAACCATCTATCGGTACTGTAAACCCTCTTACCTCTACAAACAGATGTTTAATTTCATGTCGATTCAAGCCATCAATTTCTCCGTTAGCATAGATCTGTTTTATTACACTTCTAACATCTATGTTCAAATCGGCAACAGCTTGTGAAATTAAACCAACACCATTTTCTATGTCCTGCCTATCGCACTTCATCCCACCGATTGCAGCTAAATTGCTGATTAAAAAAATTTAATTTTCAAATATTATTTTATTCAGTTTTTTTCACATAATTTTATTTCCACCTTTTCTTTTAAAATAGTAGTACCTAAAAAATATTTTTTTTCAAATATATGATTATTTTCCTATCAATTGGTACATTCTTCTTAAAAGTCCCTTCTTAAATACCAGTCAAGAGATGTTTAACACGCAGTATATTGTCTTACGCCTTCGCTTAGCTCTTTCATAAAAATTGATAGCAATGACAAATCTGTTCGTTCACAGCTTGCCGAAGCAACTGCTATCAAAACTGTTTTGAATAACAAATTTTACCTCAGAATTCTACATTATTAGACTTTAAAGACAACTCGTTTAATACAAAAGTGTCATTTTAGAATTTAAGTTTTGTATAACTTAACCAGTCGTACAGATCCAGAGACCTTTACAGCTCCAGAAACAAAAATTCAGAAAAATTGCCCCATTTTTTTAAACACCTACTTTACTCATTTCTATTCAGTCTATTGGCTCAAAACCCCAATTCGCTTTCCGCAATTTTTTGAGTAAACATTTAAATCAGGTCCCAAAACTTATTTCCCAGTCACTAGAATCTAAAATGAGATTATACCCATATTGCCTTGAATCAAAGAAACTGCCTAAAAATTAGCAAACCAAAAAGTAGTCCTTCATTTTGACATATTCCAGTCATGGTTCTCTTTGGTTTACTCTCGGCACGCAAATCATCAATAGGACGAGGTAAAATATCGTCGTCAATTATTGGTCCTAGCGGTAAAGTACCAGTTGCAAACATTGTTTTATTTCCAATCATTCCGTCTGCTAATTTTTGTGCTGGAAGTTTTCGTAAAAATTCAATTAATTCAGCATTATCACTGCCTAAAATATAAAAACTCGTTGCTGAAAACTTCTCCACTGTTAATATGAATAAACAATAAAATAAGGCTAAATCACGTGATATTTTGTTCAAACATTATAAGACTGATGTTTCCTAACAACAGAGAGTAAGACATAACTCAGCAGCAGCCTCACCATACCTGTCCAACCAAGTTTTCTAACGTGTTTTGTGCAGTAATCTACCAATCTGTCTTTATCACAAATTGCCCATGAGGACTCGGCTGATCCACCCATAAGAATCATCTGGTCGAATAAATCTGCAATTAGCGGTCGTGCTTAACGTAGTAACTGTTACCGAACACTGAAGTGTTTATAGGAGAGATCATAAGACGAAAAATGAAAAGAATCATTTCCAGTTGCTACCTCTTGAATACGGTGATAACGACAATAAGTCTGCGGAAGTAGCTCCAGCACTTTGCCCAGCGACTGTTATCCGACTTGGATCACCACCAAACGATGCGATATTGTCGTGAACCCATTGCAAAGCAGTCACCTGAATATTACCATGTGATGTGATTAAAAAGTGTTACTATTGGTGGCTCGAATGCCTCAGTAGTGTTCACCACCCGTAAATGACTTGCAGTAAAAAATCCGTTATTTCAATTTCAAATAATGAATTTCATCTTAGTTAATTCTCAAACTATGGAGTTTTTGTGTCAAATTTTCTGTCTTTTGATCCCCTACCTTATTCAAAGTACTTCTTCGTTTTTCTATGGACAATCCTTAAATAAATAATAAAAGGCAATTTTATCACTCCAAAAAATACTCAATCCCTTTTTCTCTTCTACTGTAATTTTGTTGCTAAACAACGTCTTTTAGCAAACATAAAGACGGTCTGCAGTTGAAACCTGAAATGAATAAAACAGTTTGATTACATTATTAAGTCTAGAAAACAATTTCTCAAATTGCTAAGTACAGATATATGTTGTCAAGAAGAACCAAAATAAACCTGATCAAAAAATCCAAAATTGCCTTTGCAGTTGTCATCACCAGTACAGAAGAAGCCTAAGTATCCTAAACGATATTGTATTGTAACCACAACAATATCTCGTGTGACTAGCAACCTAAAAGTGTACCATCAATCAGCAGACATTTTTCCAATAAACTTTTGTTTAACTCGACAGAATTAGCAATTTTAGTAAAAAAAAATTACTATAGTATTTTTTTAAAAATCTTTCATTAAATATTCAACTCGCAAACATTACAATAGCGTAAGATATAAAATATGTCGAAAAACTGACAAATAGCTTACCTGGCCATATGATTGTATCTGTATCTTACAGCCGAGTCGAAAGCATATCCACCGCCATGAATATAAAAAAGTACTGGATAACCATTAGGCTGCAATTCTTAGTAATGTAAACGCGGGCTTCCACTACAGTTTGTTAATTAAATTTCTGTGTTTCTTAAAGCTGCGTCATGCAAAAATGCACAATTTGGGGACTTAATGCATAGATCAAAATTTTTCACTTTCTTAAATAAGATCGTATTATTTCAAAAATAAAGAAAAAAAAAACTTTTTGTTTGTTGGAGAAGTATATCTGTTACAAAGTTGGAGCACTGACTAAAGTGTGGCAAAAATTTCAACTTTTCTACTTAATAGGCTTACTTTTTAGTACCTGTAATATTGTCGTCTATATGACCTCTTATCTTCGCCTATCATTTATTGTTTAAAAACATGGTGTTTTTTCTAAAGTATAATACTATTAAAAATACAGTAGCTACTTAAGAATTTGGAAAAGAAATAGAAACTGCATTTCAGTTAAGTCAACTAAAAATTCTCTTTTACTCTATTCATAAAAAAAGATGAAAAAATAACGTATTTGAAGTAAAAACAGCATTAAAAAGCTGTATTTTTTTGTAAAAAAAAATTGCATGGCACATTGGAATATTTCGCGCAAAATCAAAGTGATTTCATAAATCAGTGGCGTTTTGTGGTAATTGGACTTTATGCCTCATTTGAATGATAAAATTTCGTAAAATGAAAGTTAATAAAAATGAAACAGAAAATTACGAAAAAAATTTACTGTCTTTTCTTCACTTTTAATATTATTTATTTGAACAACAACAACACTAAACGTTTTGTTTATATTAAAAAAATAAGGTTAACGACTTTCGATTATAGAATTAATCTGAAAAACACATACACCCAAATGATGTTCTGCTGTAGTGTTTCACTTTTGATCCCTTAATGACACCCATATTAAACTTTTATGTTTCAAAAAGAAATTGTTTTATTAAAAAAAATTTCTTCTAAAAAATTTCAAAAGAGTTTCTTAATAAATTTTTTTTTTGTCAACAATGTAAAAATTTCTTTTTAATACAGTCAGCAAATGATCACCAAACCACTGTAACGAAGGTTACTGCAGAAAATTTTTAACTGTTATTGGCATTAATAATAAGTCAAAAAATTTTTAAAAATGACCATTTTAACTGCAAATAACGCTTCATTTTCTTTGCTAAACAGTATGCTTTATAAGAAATTAAATTAATTTTTTTTTAGGTTTTCTGCAATATTACATACTAATAAACTGTAAATTATTGTGCGAAGCCAATCAAAACGAGAACTTTCAAAAGCTTTTAGAATTATAAGCTTCCTTTCAACACTTTAAAAAAAAAAAAAGAAAAAAAAACAAAGAACAAAAATTGTCGTAAAATTCTATTTTTTTTTTTCACTTTTTCTTTTTACAATTTATTGACATAAAAGTGCTGCTATTTGTAAAATACTATAAAAAACGTATCTGATTTATTTGTTCATCAATTATTTCTCACAAAAAGACTGTAAGAACAGCGGATAAAATTAGGTTCACGTAACTGATTGTTACAAAACAAATTAATTGTCATTTTTTAGCAGAGTACAAAATTTTAATCAACTGTCTTAGAAACTTATACCAATGAAAAGTATTAATGATGACAGCGGTTACGTCAGCAGAAAGTTTAGAAAGGTTCATAAAGGTTTTTTTGTGTTCTGTGAAGAACAATAAAAAGTGAGAAGAAATTAACTTATGACGTTGCTGTCTTCCAAAACAAGACCAATAACAATTTTAAAAATTTATTTCATTAAGACTAACATTCGTTGCCTTTTTATAACTTTAACCTCCATTCCCATCCAAATCTTTACCTGTTAAATTTGCATATTAACTTTAACATCTTTCCTCACTACTCAACTAATTCGTCAAAACGGTTTTTTGAAACTTTCTTGACGCTTAAACAAACCATAATTGAAAAAGGAAATTATACCAGCCAAAAAACAGTCTTTTTTTTCTCATTGAAGACATACATTTGTAAAAAAATCAAATCTTACATAATCGTCCGATTTCCAACTTGGAGCCATAACATTTAGATAAAGACAATCTTCGCTTTTTCCAACTCCCAATTCCAAATAGTCCCAAAAATAATCCTTTTGCGGTGCTCGACACTTATATTTTTTGCATATCTTCAACTCTTTCCAAGGTTTAACTGGCACTGTTTTCTAAAAAATCAGCAGTTTACTTTTTTTGCATATTTTATACATCCTATCATTTGCAACATTTTTTAATGGAAAAAGACATTTTAAATGACAGCAACAATAATAAAAAAATTGTTAACGTAACAATTCTCAATAACTCGTACAATAAAAAAAGAGAAAAAAAGAAAAGCATCAATTTTTTCTTCAAAAACCTTTTTTTTTGACTATAAGTTATGCCAACAAAGAAAAGTGTAAAAAAAATTGGCAAAAAAATTCCGGTTTTTTTGTATTACTGCTGTCTTCTCCAGTTTCTGAGAATTCTGATTCTTAATCACAAATTTTTTTTTTTTTTGCCGCATCTTTTAAAGTTTAAGAAAACAGTTAACAACGTTTAACAGAAAAAAATGATTGCAAAAATTTACCTCAAACCTTAATTCTCCAACTGGTGGTTCTGCGTATGGTATACCAAGAAAAACATTCACTGCCCCTCTGTCAGTTAGCATCGAAAAACCTTGTACCGGACCACATTTGGTGTCGGCTATAGGTTCTTCAGATGTTCCAGACTTCCATCTACTTGGCCAAACACTTGCCAGCCTCATTCTGTGCTGCTCTAAAGAGGAAATATAGTAAAGGTAGAAACTTAATTTTTATAACTTTGTTCATGCAATTACCATTAGCATTATACGATGGTCATTGCTGAGAAAACTTTTTGAGGTAATAAGCGCAAATAAGCGTTAAAATTTACAATATCAAAAATTGACAAGGCAAAGAAGGTAGTCACATTAATTCAGGTTTCTACAGCTTAGAAACTGGCACAACGATGCAAGAGTCATGCTGATACTGCATCTTACGCTGAAATCTAAAAGCTGAAAAAAAATTCACTTTTTTCTTTTTTTCTGCCCTTCTCTCTCCACCTACTGACACACCATTAAAAATTCCAGAAAATTTTGTTGTTACATTTCCCATAAAACTGATGTGATTATATATTGAAAAGATGAAGTACCTAATAGAAAAAAGAAAAAAAACAAAGTTGAATAGAAAAAAAAATGTATCTTTTGGTATTTCACCTATTTATCGCGCATTTAAATGGTTCTTCAAATGGCCACCTTTCATTTACAGTTACAAATTTCTTACTTTTGTACGAATTAGATTGCATAAAAAAGAAAATGAAAACGGCAGTTCCTTCCTGTTTACAAATTTTTTCATCAACTATAACGACAGCGAAAGCAACAATACATTTGACAGACACAATTAATCAACGATAAGAAGTAAAAGTTTTTTGAAGTTTTCTTTTTTTTGGAATCGTATTTGAGCAACTACTAGAAGACCAAAAGCTACAAAAAGTTATCTTTACACTTTGTATCCGCTCCCTTTTCCGCTACCCCTCCCCCTCCCTAAAAAAAGACACCAAATCAAACCAGATTTTCTCGCTTGAATTCATTTTGTTCAATACCTGGCTTTTGAAAACCATTTTATCTCCTAAATTTATCTACGTTGTGCTAAAAACAAGGAACAAGTAAATGAGTAAATGATACTGATCACGAGTATTATGCATAATTGAAATGCTCAAATTCTTAGCTACAGTAACACTTCATCAAAG